AGCAGGAGCTCAGCAGGGGACAGCCTGTAGCCCAAATAGGAGAGCTAATCAGCAGAACAGCTATTTAAAAGCGATCATGCTGAACTACTTTGCTGTAGCCTTCCTCTTTAGCCCTCATCACTTGGGAGTTCACAAGATGTTTCTGGTTTTTCTCATTAATTATAGCACCAATCCATTTACCCATGAAACATCTGTAAACAGAGATGCCCTTTGGGATGAAAGGATTAGAATTTCAATTGCAGTGGACTTGATGATGGCAAGTGAGTTAGGAGGAAGGAAGCGGGGAGACAAAATCTTGAAATGGCAGAAATCCATGGTTTTTTCTTTATTCACTTAAACTGAACTATTTCTATTACACAGCATGGAGAAAAAATATTTCATATGCTCAAATCAGACAATAAATAAAAAACTCCTGGAGGGAATGCAAATAGGAACTATGACAATGAAGACTGACAGCCCCAGAGACCTCATATTACTAGAGCAATTGCATGCTACAGCAGACATTAGCACCTGGACATTATAGCACAAGACATGTTTTCTTCTCTACCCTGCAAGGGATTTGAAGATGTCTCGCACACAGTTACAAACAAAAGCAGAAAATATAGGGTGTGCAAAGAATAATTCTATTAATCTTCCCAAAAGAAAGCTCTTTGATAGACTTCCAAAGACGTTAATCTGAGCATTGAAAACAGGAACGCACAGTATTGATTGGGTAGCAGAAAAGTATTTTGTTTTCCCATACTACAAAAACAAAGAAATACCTAAGCCTGCCCATGCTTCAGCCACACCGTGCCAGGCTGGTTTAGTTTCCTACCTCCAGACACCACCAGCCAGCAGTGCAAAACTCTTCTTTGGATAGCCACCGTCCTTTTTCCACTGTTGTTCCCTGAGGTCCAGATAACAGTCTATTTTTGGAGGAGCAGACCTCCAAGAATTTAAGGTCTTTGCAAAGGGCAGCTGGTGATATGCTGTACTTTTCTTATCCAATATCTTTATTCAAGCAACAAAACATTTAACTCCCTTTTGCCTCATGTGTGCAGCTGTCTGTTGAAGAATCCCTGAATCTAAATAAAAAATAGAAGGCGAAGAAAGCATAATCATTAAATCAAAGGGTAACTAATAGGTTCTGTCCTTTAGTTATGATGGCATATTTCCCAGGTGGTGGGTTGTTTTCGTCTAATGTGCTAATAAAGGCTATTCAAATGAAGAATTTACATAATAGTGAGAAGACGAAAAAAATCAGATTTAACACCACAACTTTTAAAGGTTTATCATAGTCTTAAGTTTTAAATGATCAGTTGATCTTATAAGACACCATGCAAAGCTGCAGTTGAAAGCTATTGGAAATATTCATTACATAACCCACAACGATAAAGGTAAGACTTGCAAAAGTTATTAGAATTGTCAGCTTAGCACATAAAAGTCAAGAAAACACCAAAGATAGTTTCATATGCAGAAGAAATGTATCAGCAAATTGAATTTAGAAATTTGTTATGGATGCACTAGGAATCTGATGCTTTAGTTTTAATTTTAGTTTTAATTTTTGCTAACTCTAAAAAATATGTCATTCATGCAGGTGTTAGCAGTTACTAATGTGGAAATTACTGAAAAGAGAACAAGCTGCAGAACAGCTGAAGCTGTCAATTCTCTCTATCTCTCTTTTAGACCATGAGTTTGGAAGGTCTGGCTGTCATCCTGCTTTTCCTCGTTGCCTTATACAGGGTTATGTTCAAACTGGGGAAATCAGAGAGCACTTCTAAATTAAATAGTGTCTGAAATCTGCCAACAAATTGGTTCTCCTTTTCCAGCCTAAATCTCATAGCCCACAGAATAAGTGTGTCATTCTTGCACAAGTGATCAAAAGTCAGGAGGAGTTCATCCAGGAAGGGATGGTGGTAAACTACATCAGCAGCCATAATGTAGTCGAAGTGACAGGAAGACCTAGGAAAATTCTTTTCCAGATCAACTCCCCAAGACAATTCCTTAACATGAGGCTGGTGCTTGCATTTCATCTTTGTATTTCGGAGAACATTATGCTGAAGGTTTCCAAGCAGTTCTGGCAAATCTGTGGCAGTCACGAGTGCACCTGTGACAGGGAGGAAACAAACAAACTGAATATTCTTCAAGACTTGAGTAAAAGATATAGTATAAATGAAAGATACTTTCACAAGGAACTGTCTTTAGCAGGTAGCTTTCTGAGGGGAGCAGAACAACGCAAATGATCCAAATAGCTCTTAGCCATGTGCTTTATATAAAATAAAGATTTGGTTCCCAGTAGTTCTACTCTACAGGTTGCCAGCTGAATGCAATTGAGGATGAGCAGGGAGAAATCAGATACTAGATCTTGATATCATGTTGGTTAAATGCACAGCGAGCAACTAGGGATTGAAAAATGCCAGTTACCCACTCAAAGAAGTCAGCATGAGATTTAAGCCCTGCCTTGGGTTCTTTCTTTTTCACATACGAAGCAGCTTTCTCAGACTACAGAAAGCTAAAATTCTGTTAAAATGCAGAAGTCATTGAGCTGGATCACTCTTGAGAAGGCTACCATGAGAGAAAATACAGCAGTGTCTGTAGCAGAAAAATCAAGCTGCTGATCAGTTATGAAAGAAAATGCTGAACGCAAATGAAAAGAAAATGACCTGGCAACCGAGAGTTGTTGGGTCAATTGAAGGTGGTGCATTGCTCAGGCCTACATCTGGCTTCATCTGGTTGCCACTCACATCCTGAGAGGCCACAGGTTTCTTATTTTGGTTCCTTGTTTAACACTGTTAATGACATCATCATCTACTGGGACCTCCTTTATTGCATCAAAACAGTCACAGCTTTACAGAGAAAACAAAAAACAAACAAACAAAAAAAAAGAAAAAACACAAAAAAAAAAAACTGACCAGGTTTCCAAACAAGCCTTTTAGAACTTACTTCTTCTTGTTGAAAGCTTTCAAACAAGTCTTTTAGAAGAACTGACCCACTTCCTTTGCCCTCCAGTATTCACCTGAGAGAATTTTTCAAGAGCGTAAGAGCAGTGGCATGTACTCACCCAGTAAACTGGCTACTATGGAGACCAACCCAGTTCCAGCTCCAATTTCAATCACATTTTTGTCAACCAAATTGTATTGTTTAGAATTAGTTTCCAAAAAATAACACAGAACAAGAGCCTGTAGGGGAGGGAATCCATGAACATACTGAACAAATAAACGAAATAAATCCCTTCACTAAATATGCATTGTCATTTAAAAGCATGCAAAAAAAATCTTGTCTGTTCAAATGAGCAATATTCATTCAAGCACTGTCTCTAAAGGGCTCCTCACTATGATCTTTGAGCTCTATAGACTCACAAAATAAATGCCACAACATGCCTCAGTATAGGCTTACAAAGCACTACAGCTAGGAGGAACAACTGCAGTTAAATAGTCCGTCATGCTGCATAACATGAGCTATAAAATTCCAGTCACTAGATTCTGCTTATAACTGCACCTCTGGTTGAGTTAAAACATGTCTTTCCCAAAGACATCTTGATATAAGGACTGCTTGTGAGAGAAAATCCACAACTTTTGTTAAGGTTAATTATTTCTATTAATTAAATACCTAATGATTCAAAAGAGACAAATAGATTTACCCCTTTTCTTCCAGTTCAGTTTGTTTTGAGTTTCTATGTGCTTACCTTGTTAAGTTTAGCAAACTTTCAGAGCAAAGCCACAAAGAGCCCTCTACAACAAACTCCTCATATATGCATTTATCAACTGTCATTAAGGAGCTTCTTTGGTTTTTCTGCCCTGTCTCATACTTTTTTTCACTGCTGAAATAGAAGTTTCTAACTTTATTGCTCTTGCCAAGATAGTTTCCAGCTAGTCTCCCACAGTTTTTACCAGACTTTGTTAATTATATAGTCTCTATCGACAAATACATATGATGGTTGCAATATCTTGAAATACAGATGACCATTTGGAAAGGCAGTTACTAGTGGCTTGGTCTGGCACAACAAAATTACACACTTAGTTTTGCTTTTAACTAATTAATAAGAAGAAGGAAAGGAACAGGAGTACTATTGACTCAATGTTAACATGCTAGAAATGCAAACAAATTTTTCCTTTCTACCTCTTAATTCAGAGCAAAAAGAGTAGAGTCTTTAATCCAAACTTCCGTAAGTCTCATGTTCAACAAAGCTTTGCTATAGAAATAAGTCTGTGAGCACCAGGACTAACTAAAGCCAGGTTCCTAAAGATTGTATCTGATGTTTGACTGACATTTAAAACCACATTATATTAAGATTTCCTGTTGGCTGTTATATTCCTGTAATTTTTCTCCTGGAGTTTTGCCATATTCTGTTGTAGAAACTGGCTGGCAGGATCAGTATTTCTGTGGGTTAAATTATGGAAACTTTGAAATCTGCCCTCCTTCCCATGAAACATGCAGAAACTTTAGTTTCCTTAAAGTTTCTGTCCTCTCAACAAATTTGACTGACATTTTTTGGGAGAGTTCAAATACTGCTGGATGGAACTAGAAGGAGGAATGTGAAAAGACACAGAAAGAGGGTTTGCCTTCCTTCCACAGCTAAACTGGCTGAACCCTTCCAGGAAAGACATGCACTGAGGCTGTTAAAAGATATAGTATAAATGACTTGTCCAGGTCTGCCAAGACAAGGAAAATTGCTTGAATTTTGAAACAGCAGAGAATACTAAATGCCCTCAGCTGTACTATGGCCAAATTTCTTAAAGATCCTAGGAGGCTGATACCACTGGGACAGAAATGGAGCCCCCTAGATTTTAATCCTCTCCATCCTATAGGGACTCCTGGAGATGGTTCTGTTTCAGGGATGTTCTCAGGATGCCACATTTGTCAATGATGCATCGTGGTACCTCCCTGAACACAGAGGGGTTTTCCATTCTAATTATTTTGAAACAGGCAGTTGCATCGCACAGATTCAAAACCCTGCAGAGGGCCCTCTGTATGGTAGGCATCTTGATGGTTCTTAGATCAATAACCAAGGACAATGGTTCTCTCCCCCTAGATTTCGGGCTGTTTAAGAAACTGAAAGCTCCAGCTGAACCTTTTCCCATGTCTACATATTTTACAAGGTAAATACTCCCCTATGAGTATGTTGAGTAGCCCTTATGAGTCCTAATACCTTGTGAAGGCATATCACAGCTGTTTCCACAACCTTGATCTGCCTGCTGTACAGCTATTTATAGAATGCATAGAAATGTAATCATCATAAGACTGCCCTATTTCCTTCAAAATATGCTTCTAATTGGCCAATAGGATCAAGAGTTACTGGTAAGTGAGGAGGGGACACAAGATCATACAACTTGTATGATAGAGGCACAAACAAGAAATACCATTCAAGCTTTGAGAACCAGGAACCCATATGAAATCAAGCTAAACTCAGGTTTGGGATCTGAAGAATGGAGACAGAGAAGCACAGGAGGTTTTCCTTGGGCTTACAACATACAACAAAACATATTTATCAGGCAAAACAAATTAAAAATGCTAGAAGACTTCAAAATTATGAAATAACAATATTGCATAAATATTGTACCGATGGCCAGACGACTGCCCCGTAACAATCAATGGCTTCTGTAATTCTTATCTCATGGCCAGCAAAATGAAAGCCTTCCCAGGCCTTATGAGTTATAAAAGCAGGAAAAAAACGCCTTCTCATGATTTCTGCAACTATTTGTTCTTCTTTTTCCCCTGGAAGCAAAAGTATAAAAGGTCAAACAGACTGAGTGGACTGGTAATGAAACTACCAATTTATAATGAAAAGCTGATTTAGAAGCAAGAATGTGAATTACATCTGTGAATAAAAATATATTCATTAATGGTTAGTATCAAACATAGGAAATCTCCTGAATTTTAATTTATATTTTCAGTTTATGACTAAATAGTTTCTTTCCTGTTTTGCTGAAGGAACCAAGTTCATTAAAAAGTGGAGAAGTGAAATGTTACCATACATCGCTTTCCATTTCAGCAATCCAAAGGAAACTTAACTTCTTTTTCCTTTCAAGAACAGCTGCCGAAGTATAGACACTCATGGTCTTACGTGCCCAGATTTTTAATTATTTTCCGTATTCTTTTACTGTTCACTTTCCCCACATTATGTTTCTTTCTGACAGTAAACAAAAGGAGCCACAGTATCATTTATAAGTCTGTCACAAAACTTGTGAAACAGATCATAGCAACACAAGTTATGACAGATAGCAGTAAAAGAACTAGTGTTGTCAGGAAAGCTTATCCACCCACCCCAACAGAGCCCTGTCAGAGGGATTGTTAACAGTTGGCTTGATATCCCAAATGCCATCCCTGTTGCTAAGCAAAGGATATTTATGAGAGCTAACATAACCCTGCATAACACAATGCTGCATCACAATGTTAGAAAGTAAATTAAAAAAAACCAAAAAGTGAAGCTGTCCAGAGCATTTTCTTAGCAAAGTCTAAAATCATTCCAAGTTTTCACAGGAAATTTGCTTTCACATCCACCTATGACACCTTTGCAAATCAGCTAAAGCAAAACACGTTTACAAGCTACACCTCCTGGAAAGCATGCTAGAGATGTAGGTAACTGGGTTACCACCTCATCCAAAGCAGAGTTTCTGTACCAAGCCTGTAGTTACCATCAAAATCAGAGATCAGGATCTGCAAAGAAACTGCAGGTCCAATGGCTATTAAAAATCAAAACATTTATGTTCTCATCAGCATAAAACACATTGATCTACTGAAGAGTCTTCACGTTTTCTTTCCCTTCAAAACACTGTATTCACAGGACATGATGGCCCCAAGTGTTGTTATCTGGTCCGCCATAGGCCTCAATATTCTCATTGACATAACCTATTCACAAAGTCTCTCTCCCTACCTTGTTGTAGAAGGACCAAGAAATAAAAGCACAGTGAACAAAAAAAAAGAGATGATACCAAACAAAACCACATCTGGAGGATGGGGGATAAACCTAATCATGGGATACTGCAAAATTAAAAATAATGTAATACATATACTACTGGAAAATAAAAAAAAAAAAAGATAAAACCAGTATATTTTATAAAGGTAACAAGTAAATTATCAAACTATGATACTAAGATGTTAGGAAATAAGTAGCATGTGGCAGCCCATCACATATTCTGTAAGCCTCTAGTGTTGAGAGAAAACACATGTGTCATTGTGTCTGCAATCAGGGAACTCTGCACATACATGAGTTAAGTGCCAGAGAAATGCTGCTCCAGGGCAAAATTAATCTTTTCAGGTGGAAGAAATAATATGAAGCTGTCTTATCACACATATCATAAGTGTATTTAATATATCATCCTGTTTCCAGGCATACCAGATATAGCCTGCTTTTAATCTTCTCTGATTGCTTAGAGCAGTCTGATCTTGTTCCATGATCAGTAGCAGCTGTGGAAATAAAAAGCTATTCCTTCTATTACCTCCCAATTACAACCATTTTTCTTGATTCTTCCTCCCTTGATATCTCTTTTGGATCCAATTTTGTTGAGAAACCATAACTTACTAAGTCTTAACTTACAAAGGTTATGCCAGATCTATAAAACTTCAGCAGCATTACAGCTACCCCTCTAGTGTTCAATAAATGTTTCCCACATATTCCTTATGTTATCAGCAATCTTTGTACTTACAGCTTGCATAGCACTTACACTAACCAAGTTTGTAGGCCACTGCTCCCTACCTGAGCTAAACTGTCCACACCCATGAACTAAGAATCCAAAATCTGCTGATTAGTAATACTACTTAAATCTTTGGCCATCTCATCCCTTTGGTAATCCCTCAGGTGGGTTATCTGGAGAAGTTTACATAGATTTTTGTATTTTTATCTTCCCCTTAGGAAGATCTTAATATTATAGAGAATCAAAATAGAGTATGTGATTTGTCAGAGACATTATATGGTAGATAGGCTTCAAAACCTTAATGAGAAATTTTACCATGACCAGGATGCTAATGATTCTGACAGAAAGTGCTGACAACTTAAGGAGTGCAGTCTCCTAATTAGATTTGCTTACTTACACACAAGTTTCCCTTCATACTGCAAAAGGCACACCTCTATTTTCTGCTTTATGTCTTTCAGAATAACTAAACTACTTGTGTGACTGCACAAGAGGAAAGTTATTTTTTTTCTGTAACTGCCTTCAGAGCAGTCAGAGCTGAAAAATAACAAATTAGTGGGGAAATCTTTCAAGTTACAAGAAAATTATTAGCAGAGTAAGCAAAATCCAAGCAAGATTAAGTCTTCTAGTACCTGCAAACATTGAGAAAGTTCTGCTGGTACTTTGATAAAACTAGTTTCTTGGTAACAGATGTAAGAATCTGATATGAAGCTATTCTCCCAGAAGTAGCATTCATCTGTGTTTGTCCACATTCTCTTGTTCAGGAAGAAAAAGTCTTGGAATTATGTCTCAGTGAATGGATTTTAATGACATTTTAAGACAAGAAGAGCTCACTTATCAGTGGAATAGGGTCAACAAGAGAAGAAGAGGCTTGACTGACCTGGGTCTCAATAATTGTAAGAAAGGAAGTGCATAATGGACATTTCCAGCAACAGTACTTGAGCACCCATACTAAACTGTCAGACTTAAAGGTCTGATAGGACTTGTGCCTCCCATCTTCATTTGCCTGGGTTTGACCAAGTAGGTCACATTTGAAGAGGGATGGATGTAGAATTACTTTCTTCAGCCTATTCGTTTCTTTGCATGAGCGTGTATACATAGTGACCACTGGAGTTTCAGGCACTAGAACCTTATTTACATTAAGATGAAACAGTCTGATCCTGTTCAGGTAACATACAGAACTTGAAATTATTTTTGTTAGTGAAATAGAGAGTTTCTAAGATGTCCCAAATTCTTCTTGAAATAGAATTTGAATGTCTAAGTTTCTTAAGACTTTCTGTCTAATAGGTTAATTTCTTACAGCATTTGTAAAGGTAAAGTTTCGAGCATGTTCGTTGAACTCGCATGATTTTAAGTTATTATCAGGGCTGAGGGAGAAAAGTCATATACTGCTCACACATCTTGCACTGTATCAACCGCATCATTAGGAAAACAGTGTAGTCACTCTCAAAGGCAAAGCAATCATCATTATTACAAGTGAAATGCGAACACAGTTTTTCAAAGAAACAGACTAAATCATGTGGAAGACTGGATTTACGAAGTCAGTGGCAGGTTAGTTACTTCCACGATAATTTTCTGGAGGGAAACAGAGGATTTTGCTGACACATTCAAATGTCAAATTAAGTGTTTTATACTAGAACAAAACATAAAGAAAGAAAATGACACAAATTCTGCTGAGACAGAGTTGAAGAAATCCTTCAAGTAGAGAAAAGAAGGCAGAAGGAAAATAGGAGATAGGCCAGGTCAGAATAGAACAAGCTGCAGACTGCAGCATCTTTTTCTTTAACAACGAAGCAATTCACAGGAACGGGCCTTAGGTAATCTTTATCTGCATGCTTTTTGTTTAGAATTAATAGAAATAGTTCATGTTTGTTACATGATCAACTGTTCCCTTTACATATAAAATTATGCTTGGGAGTATACAGTTCCATCAGGAAACAGTAAATTTAACATTCGGTTGTGTATCTTCCATCAATTAATAGCATATGTTAAATCTCCCACTGCATAACTAATGATACTGCCTATATTAATGCATTCTCCACTGAATAAAAAGGGAACAGAAAAAGGCACTGATAACCAGCACTTTAAATGCAGGAAAAGCAGCAAAGACAAGGGGGATGAATTAAAATTACATTAAAAAAATAAAATAAATACCATTGTCTAGATACCTGAATTAAAATGTGGTTAAAAATTGAAGTAAAATGACCTTTCCACATGAAAGCTGTGAAGAATATACTGGCAGTCAATATCTCCATTTTCAGACTCAATCATAAATAGCACACAGAGTAACAAAGCATCCTCCAAGTACTTTGCTAATTGATTGAAACAGCATTAATCCAGAATCAATAGTTTCACCCAATAATTCATCAAAACAACCTACAGGGAAAAAAAAAAAAAAAACAGTCTCTTTCAAGTCCTGGCCTGACCCTGCTTAATCTCTTGAGGTCAAATGATGTCCCAGCCCAACATAATACGGAAACTAGACCCAGCTGTCTTCTGCTTCTCACCTGCTTTAATGGATCTTCTCCAACTGGCAAAAGAAATGAAATCCAAGCCTTCAGCATGAACTTGACCTGACAAAGTTCAGCCAAAAGACAGCAACATTCTCCCTTCTTCAGAAACAGTATACTCTCACCTGTACAGTTGAGATTTTAAATTTATCATTTAGACTTGCACTTACTAGTATTTTAAGAACCACGTATCAACAGCTGTGAAGATATACATGGTTCTTCTAAGACTTCTCAGCAGTTGCTTCTGAGTCTGGTGAACACAGGAGGACTACCTGTACTGACATGTCTGGTTGAGTAATGCACAAGAGAAAGTTCCAAGAATCATGATAGCTAGGACTCTTGAGATCTCTCCACTCTGGACACAGGGAACTGGAATGTGTATTTATTATATATGTATAATATATATATATTTAATATAAGTATTAAAAATATGTATGATATACACTATGAATGTTCTATATATCTTGATCTATATTTATGTAATAGCTATCTTTATGTCCCAACATCAAGATGACACCTGCAGAAAGGTCATCAAGGGAATTAATCTGCAACCAGTTCTATAACCGTAAGAGAT